TATTTACTTGCGTCCAGATTATGATGGTAATAACTAAGGTCAAATCAGTTGTTGTATAGCCATTATTTTTTTTTTAAATATTGCATTCATGTTAAAAAAAATGCTTCTATATATTTTATTTGCGAAATCAACTTTAGTTCGCAGGATCATCAAAGTACTTTTTAGTTTTCACTATAATTTTCAGTTGTAAGTGGTGCATTTTCTGATCGAGTTTCCTCTTCTGTAGTTGTCAATGGTGCTTTTTCTGAACTTACCCCTTTCAAAAACGCCCCCTTCTTGAATTTTGCAACGAAAAACGACACAAGAAATAAAACGATACCCAGAAGAATTAAAGTTATATGAATCCAATTATCTTTGAAAAAATTTTCAATTTTCCCTAAAAACGAGGGCTCTCTGGTCACTTGTATTTGATAGAATGCAGTTGTCCATTCCTTTGTTGAATATTCCTGGGACGTCACACACTTCCAAAAGCCAGTCATTTTGGGCAGCGCGAAATCTATACAGTCTTCAAAGATAGAGGTGGCAGGAATGCTGTTTGGAAAAACAGAGTACGTGTTGTTTATGATCCAGTTACGTTTTGTATACAGATAGGCGTGTCCTATACCTGCACTGTTACACTGCATGCAGAATTTTTTGCCATATTTAACAACTCTAGGTTGTGGCCTGAGTGGTTTGACCATCAGTGAATACACACTGACTGTCTTCACTAAATATGGCTGATATTCTATCTGACAAAGATACGATCCTCCGTCCTTCAACATTACCCTACTAAACGTCAGTATACCCTTTTTATGTACCACTCGCCCTTTATCAGTAGAAAGCCGCATTCCATTATGGACCCATCGAAATTTTGACTGCCTAAAATTACTAAATATCTTATCTGTGACGTAATCATTGCAGTCTATCGTTAAGCGCGATGCTTCTTTCACCGAGAGGGCATTCAGGGAATCCCTAATGTGCTCGTTAACAAGTCTCGTGAAAGAGTCCGGAAAGGGAATTACTTTGTTTTCATTTTCAGAATCATCCTCCAGTATGTCCACATTCTGCATGAAGAAGCAAATACCAAAATGAAAAGTTGTGGAAAATTACTCCTTATTTCCAGTTATAAAATGCATTATGAAAAAGAAGTTTACCTGTTTATTAGTCTTTTTACAAAATACGAGCAGAAAGCAGAGATGACATAGACAGATAATGAAACTAACAGGCGACATTCTTTGTAAAAGCGGTGACGTCATAATTGAAAATACGTCAATGTATAACGTAAAGATCCACGCGTCATGAAAACCACAGGAGTTCGCATACCTGGGCAAGGATCAGCTATTTGTAAATAATAACGGCCGTTGTAAAGACGAATAATGACCCCCGTAGAATAATGACCGGGGGGTCATCGAAAAGTGACTCCCTAGCCGTAGACAAATTTAATTTTTTGTAGAAAAAGAACCCTAGGGGTCAGTTTTTTATATGTGCAACCTATAAGAAATTGACCCCCGTTGAAAAATGACCTCCAACGCAACAGATTGATACAAAGTTCAAAAGAGATGATTGATGTCAAGGTTTGGATTCTCTTGCGTTTTTTCTGATTACATGTAATACTAGACGAACACACAATTAAAATTTGTTTAAAAACAGTGTATGTGTTTCTTTCTATTAGACCTATTGTGTAAGCCCAAAATTAAAATTGCACAATAGATACGTCACAGTGGCTATTGATAAAAGGAAAGTCAGGACGATATATTGTTATCGCCAGACCTATTATTTTGTCTGAACATTTTCTCGGACATGACTTTGATAAACTTAATCAGGGCTCTAATTGGCGACTAATTTAGTCGCCATGGCGCCTAAAATTTTTGATTTGCACCTAACATTTTTCCATAAGTCGCCAAATTGGCGACCATTTTAAATTGACTTGGCGATCGTCGAATTCCGGAACGTTTAACATTTTTTTATTTTTCTGAAGAAGCGAAAAAAAATTTTAAAAAAGAGAAAATTAGTTTTAGCAATAGACGTGTTTTCTTGATCACCTTTTTGTTCTTTAATATGCAAACGTCCTCTATTGATTACTATTAACTTTTAAAAAAAAAAATTGCCTGGCGACTAAAAATTTGCATTGGCGACTAAATTTTTTGGATTAGTTGGATTAATTGTCAACTAATTTTTTTGGATTAGGCGCCAGCTGGCGCCCAAATTTTAGTGGTCACTTAGAGGCCTGTAAAATAATGAAAGGTTTCAAAAATGACGATCATCAACAGTTACTCTAGTTGTGCATTAAACATTTTGATTTTTTAATCTGACCGCCGTTGTCATGGGGAAAAATTGTCAACTAATATTTTCACGGTTAGCTTGTTAAATTTTTGTGAAACTTCACAAATGCGTTTACATTTACATGTAAGATTTTTAAAACTGTTTCCATTGCTGTGGAAACAATTGGACAAACTTTTTCTCACAACGAACGAGTGAATTAACGCACAGAGGTACAAAACTTTCCTTACAGGATCATTTATGGATCATTGTGTATTTCTATTGTATTGGTATTAATTGCCATTAAGTAATATCACCTATTCGAATAGGTGATATCACCTGTTTGAAAAGGTGATATCACTCATTCAAATGGAATAGGTGATATCATCTATTCGAATAGGTTATATCACTTATTCGAATAGGTGATATCAATTTTTGAATTGGTGATATCACCTATTGGAAATGAATAGGTGATATCACCTATTTGAATAAGTGATATCATCTTTTTGAGTTGAATAGGTGATATCACCTATTCGAATAGGTGATATCGCCTATTCGGATTGGTGATATCACCTTTTTTGTTTTGAATTGGTTATATCACGAATTTTGAATTAGTTATATGACCTATTTGCGTTTTTATAACATAAAAATGAATGCGAAAACAAGACGTTCTAGCTTCAATGCAAAGTAAAGGATGAATTTCCAAAACGCCTTCAAAGAGCAGTCTTATTTCTTTAGCAGTGATTCAAAATTGATGAAACTGATTTCATTGCTCTTGCACAAACTTTTTCAAAAAGATAATAAAGTTTCTATGGACTTACTGCACTTAATATGAGACATACCCTCTAGTATGTCGGCATTGCATTGATCAAAAAACTGTAGATTCTCTGTAAGATCATTTATTTGGCACAAAGAGGAGAGGAGACACTGTTTACAATGTATTATGTATGCAAGTTACAATGTATATAAAAAGACCATAAAATAACCTGTTTGCATATGAAAAACTAAATTTCTTTTGACCATTAGCAAATTCGGACTGCCCTTTTTCCCTGCGTTATAGTCCAAGGCATTTAAAACGCCATTTGTTTTCAATTCCTGTGAAGTTATATAAATTTCACTCGCAGTCAGTTTTGCTATATTTATTGATACTTTCTCTCTGTTATAATTATCTAAGTGAAAAGAGACTGAACTTTTTACTTCCTGTATAGAGTAAATGAATGCACTTTAGTCTTGGGAGCAGTTGTTATTTCATACTTAATTTGAATAGGTGGTATCACCTATTCGAGGGGGGGATATCACAAATTCAAAAGCTAAAAAGGTAATATCACACATTCGAATAGGTGATATCACTTAATGGCGGTAAATACCAAAACGGTCCCTCATACTCTTGCTTGCAATAGCAAACATTCTAGTCTTGATCCTTTTTATCATTTGTTTCATATTTCGATATTTTACTGTTTATAGACGTTTATGGCCAATTAACAAACGGGTTGACTTTAGATTGATTGATTGTATGTAGTTTTACGTCCAATTCGAGAATTTTGCGCTCCTATAGAAACGTCACCATATACCGGTGAAGGGCCTCAAATTTAGACCTTTACTCGGCACTCAGGGCCATTGAGCAGTGAGGGATCTGTATCGTGTTAACGCCTGCCGTGACACGGGGCATCGGTTTTAAAGGTCTCATCCGAAGGACCTGCAACTTTCACTTCAAAGTGCCGAGCGCCTGGCGAAGGAACATTTGCTACCTATTTTTTTTTATCGACTCAGGTCAGTCGCGGCCGAGATTCGAACTCACGGCGAGCGCTTTACCGACTGAGCTACCGTGACGGCGGTTACTTTAGAAGTCTCTAAAAAGTAATTCTTATTTTAAAAATTGTAAGGCACTTTTGTTTTTTGTCCGAAAATTTCATGTATGTACACTATTTAAATCATGGGCTTAAAAAGGCATTCGGACGCAACTTAATTAACCGGTAGATAGACATTGTAAACATCTCTCTCTCTCTCTCTCTCTCTCTGTGTGTGTGGACTGTGGATAGTATAACTCTCTCTCTCTCTCTCTCTAGACTCTGGATAGTATAAGCGAAGATAAAAAAAAGTTTGTTTTTTAAACAATGATGCATAAGTCAATCAGAATGAAAGCATTTCCACATATGGTACATTGTTAATTCACCATAAAAGACATTTGGAAGATTAAATGAGAACAACAGATCATCGCTTTATCTTCAATTTACCTCAGGTGAGCATTTTGATCCATGGCCCTCTTGATTCATTAGTTCTTTTTTTTTAATCCAAAAAAAATATATATATATTTCTGATCAAATCTACCAGAGGTCATTATTCTACGGGGGTCATTTTTCTTCACGTAGGATATGCAGATTTTAAGGGTGATGCCACTTTTTCTACGGCCGAAAGGGTCATTTTTCTACGTCGAATAATGACCGGGGGTCATTTTTCTACGTCGAATAATGACCGGGAGTCGTTTTTCGATGTCGGAAAATGACCCCCGGTCATAATTCTACGGGGGTCATTATTCGTCTTTACACCGTCACAGTGAAAAAAATTGTGTCAATATTTTTACAATTTTTCTAGTTGAAAACATCTATATTTATATCTTCCTTCATGAATTAAAAAAGAAAAGATAGTTGCGTTTTTATTTTTTAAGAAAATCGCATTCAAATATAGGTGATCAAAAAGTGACGGGCGTTATGTTGACACAGTTAATGCGAATTTTGAAGGTTTTTTCGCCCTCCTCGAAACGTTAAAAAAACCACCACATGCATGAATCTGACCACACTTTCACTTGGAATGAATTAGACAGCTTTTTATGACCTATCTGTAAAATAAATAAGGCACAATTAATCGTGACGGAGGTGACGTCAAATTCTCTTGCTGTAGCATTTTCATCATTCTTACTTTCTGCAAAGAAATCATGTTTTCGGTGTTTTTTTCACTACATGAGGAAATAAAACTAGTTTTTCATTTTAAAAAAGCAGAATAAGGTACATTACTTCTTCCTTTAACAATTTTTTTATCCTGTTTAATAAACGGATGTTATATTTGACCTAGCTTTTGACAAAAATGGATTTTACAAATTGACAGACTAAGGTTTGCTAGTTACGGAGGTTACATTGACGCTGATTTTTAAAGCATTTCGTAAGTTTTTTTAAGAATACACATGATTTCATACATGCAATGAAGTTTGTGTGTCAAATATCTACATCCACACATTCTGCTAATACTATAATTAAAACTACTGCAAGTATTTTCATGAATTTTTTAAGCACGAATGTTACAATATAACGTTCCGTTACGGTTTTTCATGGTAGTTACATTTTAACTCTCTACGGGCTTTGTAATTTTTATTTAATAAATTTATTATTTGTTCTTCATTAATCAGTTAACATACAACTGAAGTTTACTGATAAAATTTTATCTTTAATAACATAAAAAGAAAAAAAAAATGGTATCAGCACATATTAAGAATGGTCAAATCATAACAGGCAATCAGCCAAGAAAATCAACAAGGAACTGGTAGCATGGCATCTGAAAAGAAAATAAATTATTTTTTTTAATAATCAAAACAGCGAAAAATATGTCCATAAAATTTCTATGTTACATAGTCGAATCATTGTGCTTCAGAAGTTAAGGTTTGACATTGTTTTCTGTCAAACTGTCACATCCGTATATTTTATGTTAGTCAAAATATAACTGCCGAACTCTATGATCTTAATAGTTCTAGAAAAATGCTTAACTTTTGTGTCAAACAATAACAATTATAGATTTCAACACATTGGAGAACAAGGCTTGTCCATTTTATCATTAAATATTATATAAATCTTATTTAGTTATTAGCGTGACGCCTGTTATCTACTAAGAAATGTTGACCGACAATACAAACTCACCCACTTTGCATTCTTTTTTTGTATCATGGTCAC